CCCCCCCCCCCCCCCCCCCCCCCCCGCGGTACAATTCGGTTATTTGTACATGCATAGTCGAGAGGCTGACAGCAGCAATCTTGAGAGGACTGTTCGAGAGCAGTTCGTGTTTCGGATTTTGTCGTTGTGCACACCATTCTGTACTCAAGCTTCTTCCCTGACACAGGTTTCTGCATCCCAAGACTCCCCGCTACAGACTAAATGCGTGCGTCAAGCGTTAAGCACGATAAGGGGTTGGCAACACGTACGTAGCCCTGTGTACCACATACGGTACCGTTTCCTAGAACATGTGTGCATAGCATGCCTGGCATTCACCTACGAAATCGAAGCAGTGCTGTAAGTATCCTACCCGTTCGAGAAAATGCCTCAAGATGGGGATGTGCAGCGTATAGATTTTGCGATGACGGTATTGTAGAGCTACTGTACTTGCAGTGAATGTCTGGTGGTTTCATTTGTGGCACCAGAAGCAGCAGGACCAAGGCGGGCTTTTCGGGTTCGGATGCGAGTGCAGAGAGAAATGAGCAGTGATGCGGCAAATGGAGCGGGGATTGCGGCAGGGTTATCAAGAGACAGCAGGCAAAGCAGGCGGATGTATGATCCGCGATAACTCTCACTCGATACAGCATCTCCTTTGACTAGTTGCCCACAACCATTTTGGCTTGGGACGAAGGTTAATCTCCGTTCATGGTGAGCCCATGCAAAAGTACGTCCTGGTCGGAACCCAATTCTGGTTATCCCATGACGACCCAAAGCAGCGGCAGAGCAACATTACATGGCACATAGATACCGGAAGTAGAAAGACCTGCACATGGAGACGGATTTGAATTTTCATCCCATCCACCAAAACGCACGTCGTATAAAAGGCAACAACTCAACCACAGCACCGACGCAACGCCATCTCCGCGCGTCACCTGCTTCTTCCTGTCGGCCCACTGGCGGGGATAAATCCCGCTCATGTTGGAACCAGCAGGTATTGTGAGACACTCAGAGGGAGACGCGAGACGGCAGTAACCGCGCGGCGATTACGACATGGGGGGGGCACGCAGTCTATACCAACGCGTTGAAAGAGAGATAGGTGTACACTATGGTTTTTCAAACCGTTGAGACCCCACGCCCCTTGCTTCTGGGGGGGCGATGCTGCACCGCACTGCTCTGGGGAGTGCACCATCGATTCCTTCGATTCGCGTACCATGTCTACCAATGGCGCTGGATCTGCGATCGCGACAGGGTCAGATGCTGGCGAGGCCCGAGGCCCCACGAATACAAGCGTCATCATTGGCAATCTGAAAAGGTACGGGTCGCGGGAAACGAACACCCTCTTTCCAGGAGTACACTGCTTTCTGCACTCTGCCGCCGTGTGTGTACAATACCTTGTTGCGCCCCTTCCTCTAGATATTGGTATCCAAGTGCGCGTTCGACCGCACGTGCATTGCACAAGGAAGAGCAAGCTCAGTGTTCCATCCCACCAAGCCATCGAGTTCATGTATTTGCTCTCGCAGGGACGTGGACAAGGAAGCCCTCAAGGCACTTCTATGCCAGCTCGGACGCGTTACTAATTTTCGCCTTCAGCAGCCACCAGGGATCGATCCTGTTTCCCCGGTACGGACTTGTGGTCGCATTCCGCGGCAGGCTAAAGGGCTGCGAGCAGTTGGAATAGGATGGTATGATGCAGGCGTTGTTCTTGGAGTGCTCTTCGGGTTGTGCTGATGTGTGTCTCGTGGTTCGGCACCAGATGTGTGTTATCTTTGATCATGTTTGGAATCTTCGTAAACCTCATGTCCACACACACACACACAACAGCGTCCCCCCGCGGACTAAGACTCCACGCACATTGCCGATTTTCACGCGAGGGTTACATGCATATGTGCTTGGATGAGTGCAACAGCAGCAGCGAGCTGCCCAAAAAGAACAAATACGCGCGTATCCTGCTTAGTGATGCCGCTCTTTTTCTCTCTGTCTCTCTCTGATCCCACGTCCGTCTGCAACGACGCAACGAACGAAGGCTACGGGCGTCGTCGAATACGCTTCGGCCGAAGATGCAAGTAGGGTGGTCGCTCATGTTCACGGGAAATTGATACTGGGCCGGCCTGTCACAGCCTGGATCGCAGCATCAGGTGGGTGCTTGCTAGGATTGATAGCGGGAGTCGCGATATTTTTTTTTGGGTGTGTGTGTGTGTTTACACGACCAGCATGCAAGGCTCCACGGCGTATGTGTGTGGTATCTGTTCTTTCGGCATGAATCTTGCTACAGGCACAACTTAACGTTCTTCGGTTTCTTCTCAGCTGCTCAGCGGCACGCAGGTGGCTCGTCGGTAAAATACCGCGCATGCCCCGAGGATGCCAGGCATACATGGCACGTGTGCAATCGACGCCTGGAATCGCCCCAACTAGCTCTATTTCGCGGGGAGGCATTCCGCACCACAAAAGCCTCCGCAGGGAACTATGCAAGATAGTTGCATAGAAAGGAACACGTTTGACTCCTGCGCAATACAAACACGTACGTTCCCACAACACCATCAGCAACACGATTGAAATGCACAAGAGAGGGGGTTGAAAAGCAGCTGGTTACAGCAGTAGGATCTGCGGCAAAGACGCCGGAATAGCAGACACTCACGCACACGCGATTAGTGAGAGAGAGAAAACAACGTTTTTCCGTCAACCGCACGTCACGTGATGCGATACTTTGCAGTTGTGCATATGGAAACCAGCACTCCGAATTCTGAGAGTCGAGATACGGTAAACTATTATGAGCATTGGTCACGTCCTCTTGTGTCGCCCCCGGGAGGCAAGCCCACCAGACTCCCGAAGGGGAGCCTTGTGGTTCATGTGTCCTTCGATGTTTTTCGTCCTTCGGCATCAACTTCTCTCGCGGCAGCGAATATTTCCTCGTGTCTTCCTTCTCAGGGGCTCGTCCGTACAATACCGCGCATGCCCGAGGACTGCCAGGCACCCGTGTCACGTGCAAACGACGCCTAGATTCGTCTCGACTGGCTCTATTTCGCTGGGAGGCATTCCGAACAAAAAATAGATTCGCAGGAAATTCACACCCTTCTTTGCATGAGCAGGAAGGCTTTTGATTCCTGCGCAGGCTCAAACGTTCCCACACACGATGAGCAACACGGTTTAAAACATCGTCCCTAGCACGATGAGCGAGCGATCAAGCGCGGCGGGTTAGAGAAGTAGGATCTGCGACAAAGATGCCGCTAGCCTATAAAAGCACGTTCCGCACACGCGAAAGTCGCGATGAGAATTACCGTGCACGTGACGCACATTCTGCAATTTGTACGAAAAACCGGCACTGTACCGAATGTTGACATGCGACGATGCAACCGTGATGACGTTGGTCATGTCCTCTTGCGTCATCCCCCGGAGGCAAGTCACCAAACTCCCCAAGGGGAGCCTTGTAGCATCATTAAACATTTACCACACCCACATGTATACAACGTGCATTCCTTTGCACCCGCTGGGAACGTAGGTCTCTCACCGTCGCTGGGGATTGAAACGTTGCTCATTGCTCTCGTTGCTCTCCAGCTATTCGACAAGATTGGGGTGGAATTTGCTGGAAATAGGCGGTATTGCATCGTGTTCTGGATTGCGGCAAAGGAACGAATGGTTAACAAACAGCTCGACAGCACGTTTGCCGCCTCCGTGGAGGTACCCAGCAGAACAGTTCAATATTTCTGACACCATAACTCGGCAGCAAATTTGGCAGTGCTAGGGATCATGGTTCTCGTCCCCGGTCCGTGGCAACTCATGGGACACGTTTGCTTCGTGCTACTTAAGTGGATATGAGAAGGCGTCGATCTTGCTTCACTACCATTGACGTTTCCCCACCCCACCCAAAGGTTTACTGTATTTTTTACAGCTAAAATAGTCAAATGCGGTTCGACACCATCATGTGCTGTTCCACAATAGTGTCGAGGTTATACATTGGTGAGGTAAAGGCAAACCATAGGGGCTCCGGAAGGTTCCTATGCAAGACGTCTAACTACGTTTTCCCAGCTGTGACCATCATTCGCGGGACCTCTACAATATACCGAAATTGGACAATCCTTCAGATGCAGTACACCAAAGCCACATGAAAACGAACCAATTTTTCAACTCCAGACTCCCGCGTGTTTGTGGCGGTGGGTAGCAACAGCGTCTCCCCTGGCGAGGGCTCGTCAACCGACACCTGAAACGATTGAGGACCAATAGGCGACCTATTGCGAAGATTTTTTCTCGCGCCATTCATATCGCATGTAGGCGGAATAGTAACAGTTCTTCCAAAAAGTACCACATATGATGCTCATGTTCTGCCGATAATTGCATAGTTGTTTATCGTAGCCTTCATCCAAGCCAGAGGCACAAAGTCAAGATTTTACAAAGAAAGTCAAACGAACCTCGAGTGATTTATTGGGCAGTAAAAAAATTATTGCCCCGCCGCCCCAATTTTATGTTCGTGGTTCGTTCGGGATCACAGACAACGATGCACTGTGCGTCCTACACTGCTCTGTCCCACACACCGCTGTATAGGCAACACATATGCCCTGCTGCTATTCTCTTTCTGCTCGTAGCACACAGCAGCAGCAAGCAGAAACACACTCTAAACTAGTAATAGCGACACGGCAGCTGCAGCAGCAAATACAGAACATTAAAAGCACACTATTGTAACCACACAACCCCCCCCTCACTGCTGCTGCTCCTGTAGAGCAGCCATGCACCCTTACGTACGTGTCAGTGCAGGTCACAGCTGAAAGAGGTGAACCATGTCTGTTGTCTGTTGCGTGTCCTATGGCGAGCAACATGCGGGGTGTACAGCAGCAGCAGTATGCTGGGACCTGCAGCGGGGAGTCGTACAAGGGAGGAAATCAAGTGCGAAGGACTTATTTATGTCATCGGAAGCCACATGTGTTGACGAAGTCTACAGGAGGAGTTGTTATTCTCTTCAATAGTCTATAGAGATCTAACTCACTTCATTTTTTCCCTCGGCCAACCCACCGCATTTTTACGTTTTTTGGTTTTACAAAAAAAAACGCCCACATTACCCAGTTCGTTCGTCATTCAGACAACCTCCCACACTGACTGCTTTGCAGCAACAAATGTCGCTGCGGGGGCCACTCGCCACGTATCTGTCTGTCTGTGCCAAACGCACCACATCGGTTCCCCGTAGCTTCGCGTCACAAGAGCTGATCATTTCCCAAAAAAACAGGAAATTGTATTCGAAGTAGAGAGAAAATCAGTTGGGGGAGCACCCGTGGGCACACGACAATGTTGTTTATCGTAACCTCCTTTTCACTCTCTCCCTGCACAGCATACTGGTTCTTGCTTTATCAAGTCCCAAACGACCCGGCGATTTTCACCCGGGGTACGGTATGCGTCAGCTCCCGACCCTGTATACCACACATTGGACATTGTTTTGAAACCCAAAAAGCGCTACAAGTCAGATAGACACCATCGCAAACGGTAATCAAGTATCGTGTGGACACGATATCCCTCCGATGTGCCAGTCGAACCTCTTCTTTACCAGGTACCGTCGCATGATGCTGCACCCTGTTTTGTCGCTGGCTGATGAACACCCTTCCACGAAGATCCGTCCCTCTTCAGTGTGGCTTGTTTGTGTGAGTTTTTGACAAACGTGTAACCCTCCCCGCGCTGCCCCGATCGCCTGCGTGATCCAAACATGCGATCCCACAGGCTCTTCCGCGCCGCCACTCCCGCAGGGTGCTCCCCCGCCTACGAGCGCTGCCAGCGTCACCGCGACTGCAGGCCCAGGGCCAGCCCGCGCCGCTTATCACAGCGAAATGGATCACAGGCATGCTGACCCCAACCACGACAAGAACGGAAGAAGGTACCCCCCAGCAGTGGGGCACAACGCCAATAGCCATGAGGACGCGCGTTGGGAGCGCCCCCCGCCCCCACAGCAAGGGCTGCAGGTGGGTAAGCGCGCTCCGCCACCGCCTCAGGACACTTACGGTGATGGTTACTCTCACAACCAGCGGCAACAGCAACAGCACCAATCGTGGCAATCCGGGCGTCCGAAGCCACAGCAGAGCGGGGCCAATGCTCCCGTAGCTCCGAGGTACGGAGGTGAAGGTGGTTCTGCCCACTATGCGGAGCGGCAGTGGCAGGACCAGCGACACGGGCACGGCGAAGCAGACGAGTCTGCTGCATGGGAGCGCCCCGATAGGAACCAATTCCCGGCCGCGCAACGAGCGCCGATGCGCCAGCAGCCTCCTCCGTCGTTCCGTCGTCCCACCGGTCCGCAACCGTCAGAATGGTACGACGACGCGGATTCTCAAGTTGCCCATGGAAATTCTGCTTACGATGACGGTGGTCAACTGCGCGGGCCTCGGGGCCGAGCCATGATGCCTCGTAGGGCTTCCGGGAGCTCCGTTGGCGTCCCACCGCGCAGCAACGATGACGGGTACGGCGATGACGACGTACCCTCTGGGGCCATGCGCAGGCCTCCTCCGCCCAATAGTGCATCTCATGGCGTGCCGCTTCCCGGGCGCGCGGCCGCCTGGACGGATGACGCGGAGTACACAATGCCGCCGCCAATATCTATCAAGGGAGAGGACTTCGAGAAAGAAGTTGTCAAAGCAGCGGCGCTTCTTGTGGCGGAACGAGAGATGGCTCGAGAAGAGGCGCGGAAGCAGGGCAAGCAAGACTGGTCAGGCGTCGATCCCACCCCGGGGCACGAAGGCCCAAGAAAGAGCAAGAAGGCGCGCAGCGGCGGCCGTTCCATGGGAGAAGAGACCGACGAGCGCAAGAAGCGAGAACCAAGCAGTCGAAAGGACGAAAATGATGGCGACCATCGGCCAAGGAGCAAGAAGACGCGCCGCGACAGCAGCGGTGACAGGCATGGCTCCGTCGGGAAGCGCGCAGACGAGCGCAAGGGCAAGACGAGGACTCGAGAAGAAAGCAAAGGAGGGCCGCAGGGTGATGATCGAGACAGGAAGCGTGAGGATAGCAGCAGAAGATCGCACAAGGATAAACAGAGAGACTCGCGAAGCGGCAGCCGCACCCGCCGCAGCAGCAGCAGAGCGAGGGACAACGACCTTGATTCATCGAAGTCCTTACCCAAGCAGGGCTCCTCTACTTGGGATCGCAAGGACTTCAACAGCAGTCCTTGGGAAAACCAGCACCAAGCGACGGGTGGTTTCTACGTGCACGTTGGGGGGCTATCATTCTCAACGACATTTACCACGCTCGCCAAGCGTTTTGCGGCCTTCGGCGATGTCAACGGATTCAAGGTGATTTTCAACAAAGTCAGCTGCAGCGCGGAAGAAACAAGCAAACGGAAAGGCTCCAAAGAGGAGGTGACCAAGGCCGCTGTGGTCACAGCAAGCTCCGGCTTCGCCTTCATCAGCTTCGACAACGAACGGGGCATGGAGAAGGCGGTCGAGTGCATGGATGGCCAGAAGTTAGATGGAAATATTCTCAAGGTGAGACGGAGGGTACCCAAGACCACCTGAGACCGGCGTCGCGAAGTCCGCCCGCTGCTATCTCAAGTGGAAAGCGTATGCACATAATTCAGCCTTCGCTGGTGATGATGTTACCGACATGCGTTGTTCTTACCATTACCGACAATGGAAATGTCTTTAAACACTTTAAGAATGCCTCAGCCTATGCTGTCTCCACCGCGATAGAAGTGTCATGCGAAGCATTAACTCTTCATTAACTCTTAGAGTGAGATAATTGGTTGCTGTTGGACCGCTACAGCCTCACAGGTGGCACCTAAGCGTAATAGCTACAGGGGCGCTCCCAGTGTAAACCAAGGAACCCCCCTAGGCTACCCCCGAATCTTGAATCTTGGTCGCGAGGGCGAGGGGGGGGGATCTGTTGTGTGGGATTCGACGTGTAATACTTGAACCGATATATGCTTAGTTTTTGGGATTTATCGTGTATGCTAAAATTTGTACGTGCTTAGTTATTCGGCATTTAGTAGCTGGTATTAAGTTACTTGCTTTATTATGACCATACTTAAACCTATGCACCCCGGTATTGTACGAGTTTTAGAACGACACTAAAGCCTATAGGATAGAGTATTCCTACACTCAAACCTACAAACCCAGGTAAATATGGATTCTAGAACGCCGTAGTTTCAGCCTGTAGGAGATGTATGGCCTACTTGAACCTAGTCACCCCCGTGTTATTTGGGTTTCAGAATACGACAGGAAAGCCAATACAACAAACAATATACAGTTTTAATATATATACACGAAATCCCATACACTAGGCTGCTGCAAGTAAACAGCGTAGCCTACTGATCCTGAGCGTCAACCTTGGTTCAGGAAGGGGGCGGGGTGTTCCTTGGTTTTCACAGGGAGGACCCTCCTTTTCTACGCAGTGTACCTCTTGTCATCGAAATCTCCCTTCCTTGCCGCAGGTGACCCGCGGCGGGCGCTTGCAAGGAAGGCCGCACAGTGGTGGGAGAGCTTTCCGTGCACAGGCGGAACCAACGCCTCCGAACCAGGGCCCGCCCCGTCGATGGCAGGAATCCAAGGGAAATCACAACAAACACGAGCATGACCAGGAATACCATCCAAACCAGGGACGTCACGCTAACCCCAGACCGGAGCCGCAGGGAAGCTACACTAAACCCAGGCCGGAACAGCAGGGATACCACACTAAACCCAGACCGGAGCAGCAGGGATACAACACTAGACCCAAACCGGAGCAGCAGGGATACAACACTATGCCGAGACCAGAACAGCGGGGATACTACACAAAGCCCAAGCTGCAGCAGGAGGGATACCACACCAAACCCCGGCACGGGAGAGGAGACAGCCGCTCCGTAGAGCTCATTGAGGCGATCAAGGAATCCGGTGGTGGTAGTGGCCGCGGTAAACTTGCCGATGACAAAGATCGCGGCGCCACCGACGATCCCCTCGGTGCCCTCCGCTGTCCTCGGCCTTCTGCCACTTCGCGGAAGGAGGCGAGTGCCTCGGTTAAGCCGGCGGAGGTCAACGGCCGCGTTAAAATTGGATACGGCGGGAAATCGACCAGCCGCGACGCCACTGGTAGTAACGGCGACAGCAGCTTCAGGAAAGTCGTAGAAACGAGGGAAAATGCCCGGCCATCCAACACCAGCAGCTCTGACACGCGGCGAATCACCGACCGCCTAGGTTCGAAGACATCATTTGGACGTTCGTAGATCCACATCGCGTACCAAGTCCACGTCATCAAGTCTACCCGCGAACGGCCAGGTGGACGAAGCACATCGTGTGAATCGGACGAACCCCGAGCCGAGAAGCCATAGTTTTATGTGCTGCGATTTTGTTCCGGTGGTGGGCGTGAGGAGTTGGAAAGGCTCCCACATGGCGTCGAAGCTTCGTCCTCGGAGTGTTTGTACTAGCGAGTGACCGCGAACCCAAGCCGTGCTGTCAGGCTTCACTCGGGCATCAACAATATCCAGGCGCCCATCACTTTGTGCTTTGCCGTGATGCGGCTTTCTTGCTGCTGTTTTACCTTGAGCGTCAGGTCTCCACTGACGCATGCGGAGTCTGCAGGAGGGGGGCGCTTCCACTGTGTATAGTCCTCGTGTCAACTCCTGATGACCTCTTGGAAGTCGTCACCATTAGTGTAGGTAATAGCTGGCAGCCACCGATCTTTTGGTTGAACCTCACCGGTCGGTCGGCTCGAGCCATCGTATTTGCGAGCGGTTCAGCGTGGTGAGTTGGGAACTATGCATGTGCAGCAACAGATATGTTTCTTTGTTTTTCGGGAAACGCTCCGGATGCGATCCCTGACCTTGGTGTCCTGCTGGGTACACAGCCCAGCACACCTTTGTGAGCATCGTTCTTTGGGCCCAAGCCTACGTTTGTTGCTACTGTAGGCACATTGACATGCACCATTACAACGAGACGGTGAGATCTCTCGCCAACCAATCATATTTCATCTTGGAGTGTGACCACCGCTCATCCGCCCGACGGGGTTATCGTTATCTACAGCGCGGTAAACTTTCACCACCTAACCACCACACACGCAAATATCCCTGCGGATCATATCGTTTGGGATTAGCCCCTGTTTTTTCTCGGCCCTCGTGCCGCAGTTTTACCCCTATCCCCCGCGGGCTTTGGTCGCACTGACCGCAAAACTACTTTCGGTGTGCCCGCAGCGGCAGAAGAAGCAAACGACGGCGTTTTCGCCTTTCCGGACACAGGGCCCGCCATCGAGGGCGGCGCGTGAAATGGCGCCCCCTCGCGTGCGACGTTGCCGCCTTCTCCCTGTTCAGCGTTGTGCGCTTTGCGGGTCCACCCCCCCTCCCCTTCCACGAACCAGGCCTGCACTTCCCGCTGATCTTGCATTTTTCTGTATTCCTTGATGGGGTGATCACCGCCGAGGACGTCCAACCAGCCGATTTCCTTCTCGGCCGTGTTGCTCTTCAGCTTGTTGGGTGGAAGGTCGGGGAAGTCGAAGAACTTCTTGATTCCAGATGACTGCTCCAGGACCGGCGAAGGGTAAAGAGGGGTACGCGAGAGGAGGAGACGAAGGTGGGGCTGTTTCGTGCATCGAGTGCTCCTTGATTCGGTTGCTGCGAAGCGACGTGGGACTACGTTGATGACCCGCACCATACTGGTTTCGTTACGGCGAACGGCTGATGCAAAGAGGGGATCGACACGTGCGACGGAGGATGATGATGCTTTGAATAGAAACAGCGCGCGGCGGGCCTGTTTTCTAGTGGAGGTCTGCAAACAGTATCCATTCAGCCGGCGTATCCTCTCTCTCTTGTCCCTTTCCGCTACGATACAAGCTTGCCACCTCGCACCTTGAAGGCCAGAGTCTGCAGGATGGAGTAAAAGTTGGACGTCGTCCAGTACACAAACACGCCCGTCGACACGTACATGGTCAACGGTGTGACCAGCAACGCCATCCCACGCATGCCCGCCTTCATCTTGACCGAACTGCCGGCCAAAGCGCCCCCCTCGCCACCAAGTTCTGCCATCGCCATCATCATCACCCCGGTCATGACCGGGAAAATCATGTACGGGTCGGGCGCACCGAGGTCCTGCACGCATGGGAAAAGAGGGGTATTCGTTGCAGCTCCATGACCAGAAATGGAAACTACAGAACACGCGAGGCATCTGAACCATATGTACACGACGGACAAGGGGGGGGGGGCTGCGGTGGGGGTTAACGGACTTGTGGACATCACGTCAAAGCCGAGGTGCAACTTCGCGCGCACGCACCTGAAACCACAAAACCCCGCCAGTGGCAAACTCAGGGACCACATCCGGCATTCTCCGAAGCCCAAGGAAGAAGCCAATGAAGAGGGGCAGCTGGACGATGGGCAGCGCCGCGTTCATCACGAGACTAGCCTTGTGCTTCTGGAACAGGGCCTTCGTCTCCTGCCGATAGCGGTCTGCTTTCCTTGGTTGGGACGACTGCTGATCTCCCTGCTCCGCCAATTGATGCACCAGGAGAGGTAAAGGCGGCACACACGCACACACGCACAGGGCGAGCCGGTCAATGTGTCGCATGCATGTGTCGTCCCATTTATGCTGAACGTCAATTTTACATATTTTGGTAATTGTTCTGGGCGCGTCAGCCGGGGTCACACTGCTGTAGTTTACCAAATACCTGGTATGTGTTTCTCCACCTTCCGGTGCTTGTCTTCATTTCTATCCCGAGAAAAAGGGTCCAGCGTTCCTACTCCTCATCGACCATGATTTTTGGTGTGTGGCGTACACATGATTAAATCGATTTCTGAAATGTAGTATGCCGGGTGCGAAATCGAACAAGACGCGACATAACCACTGGGCGCCGCGAAAAACATTGAAGGCCGGGATTCCTTTCTCAGTGAGAGAGAGGCCCAAGAAGGCCAACGGCGACGCCCGCGTTATGCGCCTGGCTCGCTGGGTCAAAAGATAAATGCACCTATCGCATCTGCATCGAATAGAACGATCCAGAAACGGTAGGAGCACGGACCATGTGGAGAACTCGCTAGAGGGAACAAACAGAGTTACATTGGGGCCAAGACCTTGAAATTGGATGGCAAACGAGAACGCATTCCCGTTTGCCATGCGGCGAGGATAAAAAAAACGGTGTGTCACCTTGATGGCCGCTTGGAGTTCATCCATTTCCGGTTTCATCGCCGCCGTCCTCGCCCCATTCCTAGCAGCGAGAAGTCCGATCGGCAGGATCGCTGTCCTGATCCCCACGGTGATGGCTACGATGGTCATCCAGTAAGGCATTCCCGTGGTCGCGTGAACATAATCCACCGCCATCATTGCCACCTGAGGGGGCGTGTAGAGGGCCATCTTGAAGGTCTCCGGTGCAACCTCCAACGCGGCCTGGGCCTGCATCGATAGTATTGGTCCCACACAATACGTGCGATAGGTAAGTTTTGTTTAGAGACGCGAGGGTTGCAAATGGAGAATGAAAGTAGCAACGTTCCTGGATGGGCTCGTCCCCATTTTCATTGAATTCCATGGATGTTATTTCGATCCTATTGGTGTTCGTGTGATTGCGTACGTCACGCAGTCAGTTTGGTGGGCAAAATGCTGCGGTTCCACATTTTCTTCGTACAGTATAGGAGTCCGAGGGGTAGTTCTCCCGGAGGGCAATGTATGGATCCCCCGCTGGCCAGCTCGGGGGCACTCCCTATCTTCCTTCCTCCAACCCGGCGAATCAAATCGAATATCTACACATCACATGTCACGGCTCTCATATTTAGTACGACAACGCGCATACCAACCTGGGGATCACGACCAACCTAGAGTCTCCTTCGAGGAGCACGCTTTCAGCAGTCATCAATACCAACTTGGAATAAGACCACAGCACAGTAGATGTGTCCCACGTTGCAAAGTGTACAACATCAATACAGTACACTCAAAAAGTACACAGGTTTGTAAATTTTGTCGTGTAGTTCGTCAAGGTTCGCTGGGCTCTTCGAGTCAAAGCACGCCAGCTGTGTGAACTGCTGAGCTTGGGAAACGTCAAAACTGGGAGCTGACAGCCACCTGCAATGGGCTGGTCCTGCTTCCTACTCCGTACTCTGCAATTTGCATCTTCTCCCCTTTGATGACAGGAGCGGCTCTCATAAGCCCACTACCGGAGGGATCCCTAGCATATTGACAAAAAATCGTTACGTCCGACGATGGACTACTGTACACGCTTGTGGTATTGTGTGTGGTACAGCAGTAGTATATGCTCGGAGTTCAACCCTCCCGTTGCCATTGATAACCTTGGGGGGCCCCAGGCACAACTGTTGTAAGCTTGTCTTCGCCTCTTGCCTGGGTGGTCGTGAACATCCATGATATGCCAATGAACGTCAGACGTCAGACACACCATCCGTTGCTGGGAATGGACAGCCTATGTACATCGTCGCATGTTCTCTGGCTCACCAGCAGAGTCTCCTACTGCTCTTTAGCCGGACATCGAACGTACAGGGTGCTGTGGAGGGAAGCTGCTTTTTTGCGAACGTGTAGACTGCTGTGGGGGGAAGCTAACCTTTTTTGCTGTCTACCATACCTGTATAGCGGTACAGCAAATCGCAGTAAATACCGTAGGTGACACAAGATAACACACCCCCTGGACCGATTGTCAACGCTACATAGACTTCCACGACGAAGAGTTCCACGACGAAGAGGGTGCCATTATCAAATGATCCGTTTTCGGAAAGATGTCGATGACACGGGTGCAATGCCGCCATTTTCCGCGCCGCCACTCTTTCGGCTGTGGAATAACCGAGCTTTGAAAATCGGTCCAGGGGGTGTGGTATCTTGTGTCACCAACGGTAGTCAAGGAACGGACTTGAGAGACTGCCCTGCGTCCTTGCAGCCTTACGTGTTCATGTGTTGCAGGTTTCGAAGTTACTCAATGAAGTTACGGGAGAAGGCAAAACCGTGTCGCACCTGGTCTGCAGTGCCGGCCGCAGCCATCGCGGCATCCGCACCGCCCGCCATCGCATCAGGGCCAAGGTCTGCGGTCGTCGCAACGTCTCCACTGTGCCCAGTTCCAGCCGCGGTGGACATGAGTCGCTTTGAAGTTGCACCACCAAACACCGCACCCGGTAGATGCGCAGCGGGCCATGTGATCAGTCTCCTCCTGCTGGCGTAAGCCCTGCTCCGCTGTTCACCACTAGAGGTGGTGCAGGTCTTGTTGTGTTCAGAGATGTTGACCTTGGAGTACTCAGCAGCGGCCAACGCTCTGAGCATCGACACGCCATGTTGCTGCTGACCTGCTGAACACGGCAGCAATGCATTGCTGCGACAGGCAGCAGCCACCCCCCGAGTCACCCTCGAAGTGGACTGGCCCAGACGAAGCATGGTGCTTGACTTGCGCGCGGCACACGAGCACACCGCTGCACTGCTCTGTGCTGTGTACAATGAATGTGATACGCCCGCTCCGCTCCGCTCCGTTGAGGGGCCCCGCACAAGAACAAGGCATTTGTATGAGGTGCCCACGGGGGTAGACTACTGCATATGAGAGAGCCAGCGCACATTGCAACACCACGCCAAATATAGATGTAGAGAGCGCCCGTGTGCGCCTAACTTGTGTACGTGTGGTACGCGTGTGGGCATGCCACCCTTGTCGAAGTGGTGCAGCTGTTCATGGAGGCCCGGGAGGCCCCTCGTTGGTGGTCGAATGAACCCTCTCTGGCTTTTCAAGCTTTCAAGCTTTCAAGCCGATTTCCCTGATTGTTCCGGCAAGATATCCGACATGTTTTGTAGCATGAGGATCAACATTTCTGGCAGAAACACGCATGAGTAACGTACATCCGCACAAGCGGTGGCGCTAAGTCACCCACCAATCAACGTTTTGTGTGAGAACTCGGTCCCACCCCACAGAAAACAAAGCCCGTGTGCATCTATTCGTTTGTGTCGACGGAATCGATCCTGGGTCTGCTTAGTCTACGTAGCCAGTTTGCCGTTCCCGTTCGAGCTGTTCGGCATTGCCCATTGGAGGGTTAGCTCGCCCGTACCTGGTCCGACAGCTACTAACCCATGGTAAACCGCACTTCGACAAACTACCGGCAGCTAAACACCACATTGATTGGCATGTATCGTAGAAATCATCAGGATCGTGCTTCCATCCGTCTTCACCCCGAAACCAAAACACAGAGACACCCTAGAAAAAAAGGGCAACTCGTGTCAACTACAACCTACCACGCCAGTCGAACCACTTACAGCAGCGTTTAAGTTGCTGATATTTATGGCACCCCTTGGCACTCTGTGTGCGCTACGCGGTAACCCGCCGCCCCAGATCTGCCTTGCGTCTCAAGCCAATTATAGCGAGACATCATCTACGGCAGCCGGGAAACAATGTACAGCAGTAGCGTTTAGCCCCTGTGCATATCACCCCAACGTCTAAGTGCCACCTACTCCCGCCGTCCCTCACGTTGCGTGGAACACAAAACGTATACATACATTTATTTGTTGACGTCCCATCTACGATTCTGGGCGCCAGTGTACACCTTCGGCATTTGTTTGATGCGCCAGCGGGGGTCCCACGAGAGGAATACGCCAAATTTCCACCTGCGGTGGCTGCGATCAAGTTTTCAACGCCACAACAGCAGGGAAGCAGTGCATTTCCCTGCATGTGCGTTGTGTGCACTTGCGACCCGGACCCTTGGCACAAACTGGCGCCTTCTACCTAAGGCCGAACCAAACCACCCACACCTAACCGTAGCAACGTATGTTGCTCGTGTCTCCCTTCAACGAGCACTGTCCGCCCTTCTCCAGGTACTGGTGAGGCAAGCAAAGCAACCGGCGGAACGGGGGCAGGACGATGTGAGGTGTAAGCTTACGCTATGTGGCTCTTGCCAGATTCTTTCTTGATTCCGGCGTTTTGCACTACATAGCGAAGCAGCAGATTCCGCTCGCGGATGCCGCCTGTGCTTCAAGCATCCGTGCGCAAGTGAAATCGTGCGTGGGGAAAAGGCTTGGGGGCATGACAAGGTGCGTAAACGCCTAGCAAAACCGCGCACAAGAAAAGGTACGATCTCCGTTTGGGGCAACCAAGCCATTGCGATTGCTTCCGTCGTACCTTCTGATGGTAGTCCTCTGCGCGGTAGAACTCCGTGGCTTCTTTGATCTCCGTCACGATCGGTCTGCTCACAAATTGTCGTCATCGGGGATTTCGGGCGAAGCTCAGACACGGGTGGCATGGTCGTCACACAACCTGTTCACGGAATGGCAGCCGGAAAAACAACGTGTACTGTCCCGTTGCAATATGCGGACCGCTTCGCCACTCGTGATAAAACACGGGGGGTCGTACCGTTGGCAAGCAAAAGTAAGACAGACAGGCCCAGCAGATGGCAAAAGGCCCATGTACTTGTCTTCGAGGACGGGGTTAATGCGAGTGGCGTGAAACGGAAACACGAAGACTCACTTGTCCAGCTTCGCTTGCTCCGCCGCCTTCGACGCGAGCGCGATTTCTTTTTGCTCTGCGGAAGTGTAGTAGATCCTGGGCGAGAAAGAAGGACGGCCCCGGAAGGGTGGGCGTTGCAGGAGGCGATGAAATAGTGTGTCATCAAGGGCATGCACAAGTGAGTTCTGGAGTTCTCAGGACAACCCGCAACAGGCCACAAGAAGCAGCAGCAGCCGCAGCAGCCAACACGCCGCTACACAGAAAGGGGGCGGACAAACCTCTCCCTGCCTTGCCCGGTTGACAAGTGGCGAGGCAAAACGATAAAAACAGCACACACCTGGCAGGATAATATTGTACATTCTCTCCCTCCCTCCCCCCCTCCCTCCCTCTCTCGCTCCCCTCTTTCTCCTCTCTTTTCCAATCCCATTCTGAAAAACAACATGGTACTTGAAACTCTCTCTCACCCTGATCGGTACTGAGTCCCGGAGTCGTTCCCTTGCCGGTTGAGAGTTGTCGGGTCGATCTTGTCCCACAGCACGGTCAAGAGCTCGTTGTACTTGACTGCGTGGGACGAGTCAGCAAACCACAGCAAAACAACGATAAAACTAGCCTCATCTTCGGGACGGTCCGGTTTTGAGCGGCATGAATTATGGCGATCCCCATCAGCAGCGTCGCGGGTATGACCAACAACACGGTGTACGAGTGATAACCACAATGTATGATGCAGCTAGAGCTCTTCCAATACTTGTGTGTACATGCGAGAAGATGATATAGCTAAGCGAACGTATCTTAACAAAAAAAAAACAGTCCAAACCACGCCGTTCCACGCAAACAGTCATCTCCTGCTTATTTCCCGAACGTGTGAAAACACTGAATAGGTCGCCGAACGTTAGGCAAACAAAAAACTTCAGCCCCCATCCTTGTCAAGAAACACCAAATGCGGCTTGAAGGGCCAAGAGCATACAGCAGTATCATACCAATACCCCCTCCCCCTCCATCCCCCCAAGAAGCCCGTGTCTCGTTCGACTAAAAACTTGTCCTAAAAACAAATCACCTCACCGACACGTGGATCGAACTTGACGCGGAGGGCTTCGGTATGGCCCGTCGATCCCGAGCACACCTCCTGGTACGTCGGGTCCTTCTTGTGACCGTCGGTGTAGCCCACCTCCGTTTCCAGGACACCCGGGACGCGTTGGTAGGCCAACTCGACGCTCCAGAAACAACCTGCTCGCGTTGGGGGGGGGGTGAGGCATGGCATGGGTGGTGTGAAAGGATGAGGATAAGTGTCAAAATCGTTCGGAGAGAGTCTACAACAGACTCTTCAAGTGTAGAGCCTCATCTTGTACGAATTCGACGCATCTGAAGATAGCAAGGAATGGCATCGAGGCGTCCGAAATGTGTAGACTTCACTAGAAACTATGCGGTGCCTGTCGAAGAGTGTCGGCAAAGAGTTATCAGACAGTGTAGGGCAGATGCCCTTCAATTCACCCCAACCCCTTGAGTGTGCGCACAGCATGCTCGAGGCACAACCCTTAGGCGTGCCTGATCGACCAGATGGCCTAATCAGACCATTGTACCGTTTATCCCTTCATTGATAAACACTACAATGCCAAGGGGAGATACACGGGTGATGTAATGGGTGGCGGATGGGAGATGTTGAGAAGCACGATGACCACTAGACCACTAGTCAGCGCTGTCAGCGCTGACTAGTGGTCTAGTGGTCATCGTGCTTGTCAACAAAAGTTAATGCCCGTGTCCGGTCTGACTTTGCAGCCACGAACACGTCCCCTCAGGGTTGCCATCCCTGTCATCAGCGCTGTCTTGCCCGGAAATCACTATCGGTACAAGAGGTTCATCGGCTCATGTTGCGAAGCCTATCCCCAGACTTTTTTCTTCCTCATAAATTCGGGGCAGAGAAAATTTTGCTCAAGGGGAGATTCGAACCACGGACATCATAGTAGCTTGTGTTGAGCAGCTGACTAGTGGTCTAGTGGTCAACGTGCTTCTCAACAGGAGAGATGGCAGAACGGATCCCCGTAATTCGTACAACTACATGCATGGCATGATACAGCAGTAATTGTGGTGTCCTGCTATCTATTGTGTTCTTGTTGTCGTGCTGTCTAAATTTGACGCCGCGCGGTCTACCAAACTTTGAGAACGCAACATCTGCATTTTCATCTTGACGTTTTTGTGCGCCCTGTCTTTCGGTGACTTCCAGAGAAGACACGAAACCACCACGATTCACGGGAGATTGATTCGTCGCAAAGAGCAGTTGCACAAGATAGGAAGGGCGTGGCCACCGCCGTGGTGGAGGCAGCGCGACTGCTAAGCCGTATATCAAGTCAGCCAGTGCGTGCGTGCGGCACAACGGGATGATGGCATCTGCCTTTTAGCCACTTGGAGAGAGAAAACATTTTCGAGAAACCCCGCCGTTTGCTGCGTACGCACAAGAGCCATGAAATGTGGTTGCACCCCGAGGAAAAAACTTTGGGTGTGATAAAATTGCCTTGGTCTCTGTCGGTGGAGACACGTGGCACGGCACACGCCGATCAGAGCGAGTCTTCGGCAAGTCTGACTGACTACGCTACTGGACACGCTCTGCAACAGGTTCAACAAGCTCTCACCCGCTGCGAAAATCCCTGTCTCTACAATCGCTGGAGTAGGCATTGGAGAGACCGCCTTGGTTACGATAGCAGCAGCTTCCGGTCCCAAAGACATTGACTTCGCGTTTCCCATTCAAGCAAAGGGCAGGTGTATCGAGGGGTGAGGGAGAAGCAGGAGAAGGATGAAGAGAGCTGTTGTGTGTTATGTGTGTGTCAGGTCGAGGCGGGACGATGGGATGGCAATTGCACCGCGTTTCTGACTGGGAACCCCCCCCCCTGTTCGTTTTGAAAATCCTGCCAATTGCGTCTCCCCCAGCCACGGCTCTCGCGGCTCTGCTCGGCAGCAGTGCGAAACACACCGGTGTATGTGAGCTATCTATCCAGGTACGACGGGTAGATTATGTCAAAAGCAAGAGCATTGCGTTTATTGTTGCGTTTCCCAGGTTGGCGGCAGCGGGGCTGTGTTGCTTGTAGAGTGCAATAGTCTGTCTCTTTGGGTCTTGTGAGACCTGTGCTGAGCCCACCTTGCCCCCCTTTGAATGATCTCTCTCGCGGCTCTTGCTGTGCGCTGTCCGCGCCTGTTTGTGTGTGCGACCAGCAGGGCTGGACAAGATGGGCGTAGGAAACATCTTCGTCGCGACCACTCTGGCCCCTCTGGTGATTGTGTTGGCAAGTGTAAGCTTGCAGCTGCTCACTATCGGTCTGGAGCAGCTTGGGAAATGTAAGTGAAAGAAGATCACACCCAACCCGTTGAGCGCGTCTTCTGCGGTCCTCGGCCCTGTTGTGTGCTGTGTCTGTGTGCTGTGTACCCTTCCTCCACCGCCTGTCGTCAGGACCACCTTGTGTATCGCAGGGTTCAACTAGACAGAGAGAGAGATGAGAGTACCGTAAGAATGGTTTAAGGCAAAGCTGTTTGAGGCTTGTTTTTGGCGCTATGGCGACATTCGAGCAGTTTTGGTTATTGACCCCAACCCGCGGTCTCTCCAATATCAAACCAAGATAGCATACCGGTACAGCACTGGCGCGGTACGGCTGTACTGCTGTAGATTTCGTTTGACACAAGTTCCGTAACATCTACCATCTTTTTTGGGTGTAGCCCAGCACCGGCCAGCGTCCACACCCACCGATTCTGCATACCATGCATCACTGGATCCAGTGTATCCTGCACCACAGACGGTGTACCGCCCGCTCAAAGTAGACTTCGCGTTGTACCTAGAGTTTCGCCGTGGCGGCATCTAATCTCCATGCAAGTCATGCCGCTCAAGCTCAAGCTTTGGCAGCACGTACAGCATTTCCATGCCGTGAGAACGATGGTGGGGTATGCATGGGACTGCCTACGCAAAGAAGTACATTAATTACGAAAGAGGCGTGGCAGGGCGAACGCAGGCCCTGACCCAAACCCTAAAGCCCAAACCCCAACGCGGCCGGTTCTACAATGCTCCATCCAATTTGTTTGCTCACTTGAAAACCTGCGTAGACTACAACTGCATGTACTCAACACTATTTGACGCTATAATAGTGGCAAGAACTTTCGACTGTGGTATTTTCTCGAACGGGTATATAGTCTTGCGATGGTCGTGTGTATGCATAATGTTCGTAACAGCAGTATTGAATATTTTGACATCGAAATGGGAAATGGCACCCCAGAATTTGAGAGTCGATTGTCACTGCTGTAATTTTCCGACTCGAACTGCTCACATGCCATGACAGGAAACCCCCCCGGTCTGTCTTGGGTCTGTACCTACATCTGGTCCATTCCCGCCTTCGCTTTATCTCTCAGCCTTGCATGTCCTCGGATTGTTTTTTGTTTTTCGTCACGCACTGTACATAAAATCTCCACTCCCTCTCAATCCGATGTTTGCCATCGGGGTTGGGTTTTTGTCGCTAAAACAAGCCGCCTCCCTCGGTGTTTGCCATCGGGGTTGGGTTTTCGTCGCTTGGCAACGATGTTGTAAAACAAGCCGATCACTTCGCGATCTCCGCAACCAGGTTACCGCTTTTTTTGTTGCCTTTGGTGTGTTTTTTTTTGCGGTAACCTTGAATGGTGGTCGAGTAGATCATGTGGTGCGGGGTCGAGAAACCTCACTCCGCGCAAGGGGGATAATCGCACCACGTTGTGTTAAATTGGTGACGCATCCTCGAGGCAGCTACAGTACTTATAACTGTCTCTGGAAGTGAAAGCACCAGAAAATAAATTAAGTCATACGCAGCTGTCATCCGTACGCAAGGAAGTAAGCACAAGATGCCGAACACCCTTAGCAGGATGCAGCTCACCCTTCATGCGACTCGCCGAATACCTCACGGTGCTTCGCGCTTGGTGATGTTATAGCCTGGTCCGGTGAGAACACGGCATGCTCCGTCCCGGTATTGTAGGGATGCGAGGTCAATGGTCTAACGACTACGGCATGCACGACTATGAGTACACCCCCCCCCGCCCCCATCTCAACCTTCCGTACTCCCCTAATGTACCCCTGTGATACATGTTGTTTCTCCTTTTCTCTCTCCCTCTCCCTCCCGGCTGGTCAACGGGCGATGATGGCACAGACGCCTCGCACTCCAACAGCAAGAGCCCGCTCTATCCTTTCATCAGGAAGGCGCACTTCATCCTCAACACACAATGCTTCGGTGAGTGGGGCCGTCTACTGTAGGGGACAAACCATGCCGTCACCTCTGCTCCGCGTTTTGGACAAGTGTTTTGCAGGTGGTGTCCACCCAACATTGCAATCGTGCGAGAACGGCACCCCGATGTCCGAAGTCTGGTCGCAGAAATAGCAACGGAACGGCGGTGCTGCACATGTTGCCTACAATATAGCCTCCGTTCATTTTTCAGCCAGCGCAACCAACGGCGCTCCCAATCCGAACGGCTACTTAGCGCTCGCTCCCTTGCCTTCCAGCCACGCCAGTCGCTCCTCGCCCTCGGCTAACCTGCCGGCCGTGCACGTCCGCTCCCTCGCGCAGGCGACATGGAAATCGACGTGAAGAGTTTCTCGAACGTTCTGATGGTGGCGGTGATCATGGCGCTGGTCGGAGTGGCGCTGTCGTTGGGCAGCATCGAGGACGCCACATTAGCGGCCAGGGCTGCGAGTAAGGGCAAGGGGACGAAGGCCGCCGCAACACCAAAGAAGAGGGCCGCCAAGTGAAATGTCACAACCAATATATTGTGTCCATGCTAGTTTTTTTGGGGTGTGGGTAGTTATGTCCGTTTTGAGGTACTTTGGCGGGGGAGGTTGTCGAGCCACAAGTAAGTGCTGCTGGAGCTGCTGTGTGGAGGTGGGGTGGGGGGTGGCTGGCAAGTGCGATACTCCGAACCCCCAGGTTTGGTGCCGTGGTGGGGCGTAGAAGTGTAATTTTGCCCCAGATAGCTTGGCATGTAAAGTGCCCGCACATGTAGGCCAAGACGTGATTCATCTGCTATTTGTTTCGTCCGTCATGCAGACCGGTTCGATACTCGAGAGAGGACGACGCACAGACAGGAAGGCATTGCTACTCTGCCCTGCCCGAAACTCGTCGGACTTGATTTTGACTGCTACATACGGGGTGACTGACGGCATATGTACAGTATCGGCCTTCGTTTGTTGTTTTTGTCACGCCCGTGGTAGATGTATGTGTTGCGTCGGGACAAGCAAGCCGGATGCCACTGCTCCAAGCCCGGATAGATGGATTTTGGCCGGTTTGAAAATACGCACGCCCCTTGCTGGGGGGGAGGGACCAGCGAGCGGAACAACCCTGCTTCCTTGGTGCCCGAGTGTCCCCTACATCAGCACCCCCGGCCACACCGATGGAAACACAGTAGACTGAGTCCCGTCCACCATTCCTTCCTCCAACGTTCTTCCAGTCACCCTCAATATTCAACTGGCGGCATTAACGACAGGCACCATTTCTTACTTCAAGCACTGGAAGCTCAATACTGACGGTTTCAAATACCACGTTGCACATGACTACGGGGAGGGATCCTATTTGCCTGCACGCCATTCACGGCGCCGCGACCTCCAAATAGGAGAAGAGAAGAACTAGCGATTTGACGGTTGAAACACAAGACATGGAATGGAAAGGTGTTGAATGGAAAACCAATACTGCTGTGTAAATACTTGTACGAGCAGGTTACGTGGCCTAACCCTAACCCAAACAGCAACACACATACGAAGAAAACGAACAAAGAGGTCAATAATGCTTTCGTAGGCAGAGATTCAAGAGTTCACGTAACCCTTCGCCCCGCCCGAACAAACCCAATACATCAAAACACTAATGGGGGGAGAGGGGGGGTGTACTCATAGTCGTGCATGCCGTAGTCGTTTGACCATTGACCTCGCATCCCTACAAAGCCGGGACGGAGCACGCCGGGTTCTCACCGGAACAGGGGGAGAGGGGGGGGGGGGGATATTGCCAGGGATGGAACGGGATATCCTGTCAATCCGTATGCAAAAGAGAGATAGCGGGGGGGTTGTAAAACCTTTCGTAACAAAAAGGGCGACTAGGGAAGAAACGACACTTACGACTTGCTCGGTCAACGCGCACGTTCATAGATGCCAGCTGCAACACCTCCTATCCGAAGGCTGCTGTCGTTCGTAACTAGTGCCTTCTGCGCCGCTAAAAATTGAGAGGTTTGAATGCCTCGGGGGGGCAACAATCTTCCTGCTGCCCCTGTCCTCGACTCATACGCCCTGGACAACACGCACAACAACAACGTTAAATCAATAGGCCTTCGTGGGGCTGTGGTGAAGACATGGATAGCCGGTACGTCAACCTTCTACTACGCAGCGTTACTCCCGCGAACCACTGTACCACTATAATACTTAGTCTGCTACTTGCAACACGATGACCAAAACTGACGGCTTTCACGTCAGCCAGTGCGTTGACTATGCACGCGTGAGTTTCTGTCCACTTCTACGCACGCATTCCCCTTCGCTTGGGAACCTCTACAAGCGAGGCTCGCGTTCTCATTAAACTCTGTATGGGCCACCAACACCCGTTTCAAGGTTTCCGGCTCGGTGTCTTGGGCGGGACATCCACACTTGACTCGCATTCCAAAGTCGTCGAGTTCCGACGAAAAAAACGCGGCATGAATCGATCACCGCCAAGCCCTCCCGTGACCGGGCATACTGTACTGTTGCTGCACGCGAAGGCTCCCGCAGCCCCGTGCGTGTAGACTTCGACAAATCCCTCCATGGTTTATGAAAGCCATCTCTTGTCATTCTTTCGTGGTAGTCGTGCTCGCTCCCTCCCTTCCTTCCTGGTCTTGGCTGCACCTCACTCTCTCTCTCTCGCCTTCATCGACCGCTCTTGAAGAACTGGCTGTAGACGGGATTCCGGCTCTCGTCATGGTACGTGTACCCCAACTCCTTGAGGAACTCGTGAAACTCCGCCATCTCTCCCGGAGGGACCTGCACAAAAAGGCAGGCAGGCAGGCAGGGGGGGGGGGGTGGGGGGGGGGGGGGGGACCCCAAGGAAAAAAAAAACTACCCCCAAAAACGGGGGTTAAGGAAAGGGGCCCGAATTAAAAAAAAAAAATCCAAAAAAGGGGTTTTTTAAGCTTTTTTGCCGGGTTGGGGAAAAAAAACCCCCAAAACTTAAAGGGGTTTTTCGGGATGTCGAAATCCACCACTTCCAAAAAAAAAACTTTGGGGGTTTAAAGCCCCTCCAAAACCCCGAGGAAAGAAAAAAGGGGTGAAATTTTTTCAAAAAGCCCCCCAAAAAGGGACCCACTCTTTTTGGGCCCCCCAAAACATTTAAAAGCTTTAAAAAGAACACCAAGGGGCTTTTCAAGCCCTAAAGGGCCTTGCAAACCCCAAAATCTATTTTCCCCGGAAAAAAAAAACGAGGAAAAAAAAGGGGTTTTTCCCCTTTTCCAAAACCTTTG